GGAATGCTTTTACAAATGTATGTAAAAAAATGTTAAAAAAAATCTGACTATTGCATATTCAAAAGTGTTTTTGATATATGAAAAAATATTAAAAAAAATATTTAATATATTGTATACGGCCCAAAAATTTAAGTATTTCAAATATATGTCAATATATTTGGGAAGAATATTTTTAAAATATTATATTTGTGGGTAGCAGCCTTTAGAAATATTTTTACCAAGAAAAATGGTGAGGTGTTCAATACTGTTCTGACCCGCTGTATATAGAGCATTATTACCAGGAGTAAAAGGCTACAGCAGGCAGAAAGTGGCGACATCCGCAGTGTATCTCGATGGCTTTGCTCTAATCCCCCTAATAGAAGGCAGTTACATCAGCGTCAGGTCAGGTCACGGTATAAATACCGGTTATAATTCCGGCAGTACAACATGCCAATACACAAGGGCAGAAGATGAAAGTGTTTGCTTCCAAGACAAAAGCCCTTTCCTAGGACGCCCGACTCCTGTTTATATGATCCATACAGGACACAGCTGTAAGGAATGGTTCAACCAGGATTAAAAGAGCAAACAAAGCTTCCCGCACTCCCGCTGCTACGGAGCTGCACTGACCACCTGGATGCGATAAAGTGTGGAAAAAACAAGCTATACCCTCTGCAGGCTGGGGTGGGGGGGGGTTGGGGCAAGAAATGGGGGGGGTCTCCCAGCCACTTGGAACCAAACATGTCATATATTGGAGCTTACCAATCAGATGTGGCGGCTGCATTAGTTTTGGTTTTTTTTTTTTTGGCTAATTCCCTCTGCTTTCACCTGGTGATCTAGCCAGTAACACACCTCCTGTATCAGAGCACCCTGGGGCTGCTGTTAGAAACTACAGCCAACCTGTTTTACTATGCTTCAGTTATGAATGGACACAGTGAACGATCAGTACCAAGCACTGTGTGTTTTCATCCAGGAAAGAAGGGGGCTGGTAAAAGTGACATATTTACAGGACACTTCCTCCATTCTCCATCCTGAAGGATCCTATTGTGTGCTGGCAGCTGCTGGTGGGAAAGAGGGGAGGGAAGCCGGCAGCACTGTGGGGGGTGGGGGGGTCTGGGTAGTAGGGGAAACTTATGGTGCATAGGGCGGGTGATGGGTGCAGCAGGAGGGGGCAATTACAGGAACAGATCCCCTGTATGGCTCCCTCTGCAGCAGCTGGAAGCCAGCGGGAGGGAGAGGAGAGAGCCATACAGGGGATCGGTTCCAGTAATTGCCCCTCCTGCTGCACTCATCACCCTCCCTATGCACCATATGTTTTCCCCCTGCTGCCCGTGTCCCCCCACCCCCCACAGTGCTGCTGGCTTCCCTCCCAATTACTGGAACCGATCCCCTGTATGGCACTCTCTGCAGCAGCTGAAAGCCAGTGGGATGGAGAGGAGAGGAGAGAGCCATACAGGCGTTCAGCTCCAGCAATTGCCCCCCCACCTCTTGTCTACATCTGAATCACCCAGTTGTCTGCGCCCCATACAGGAGGACTGTTGATACCCCTTATCCACGGCCCTGGAGCGCTCCCACTCTGTATGGAGCAGGGGCGGACTGACAACTCATGGGGCCCCCGGCAATAGGGGATCATGGGGTCCCTGTGTCCTTGTCCAAACTCAAAAAAGCCTATGAAAAAGGTATCAGGGGCATTTCATGGGGCCCCCTACTGACCCCGGGCCCTCGGGCAGTGCCCGAGCTTCCACATGGTCAGTCCGCCCCTGGTATGGAGCATTGGAGGCACTTTTGGACAGCAGCATTGTTAGTACATCCAGCTCCCCCCAGACTTTGAGATCGTATTGGCCTCAATTTGTTAGTGTATTTAAAAGGAACAGAGCTGGTTCTGTAACTGACTATGAAGGTTTTGCATCAGGGGTTCTCAGTTTTTGAAGAGTGGGGGTCCCTTAAAGTGGCTGTAAAGGCTTTTTACCTTCATACATTCTATGTATGAGGGTAACAAAACCACATGTGTGCAGCATCCCCTCCCCCAGCCTCCCTAAAACACACCTGAGCCCCCTCTCGATCCAGCAAAGTGCCCTGCAGCCTCGGCTATCCCAGGACTCCCTCTCCTCATTGGCTGAGACAGAAGAGGGAGCCGTTGGCTCCCACAGCTGTCAATCACAGCCAGTGAGCCAATGAGAAGAGGGGACAGGGCTGAGCCATGGCTCCGTATTTTGAATGGACACATGGAGCAGCGGGTGCTCCCATAGCAAGCTGCATGCTGTGGGGGCTCCCAACAAAAGGGAGTGGCCAGGAATGTGGGGACCCAAGAAGAGGAGGATCAGGGCTGCTCTGTGCAAAACCACCGTACACAGCAGGTAAGTACATTTTGTTTTGTTTTTTTTCAAGAAAAAATGACAAAGCCCTTTAGAATCACTTGTTTTGGTCATGGGTCCAGGCCCCAATGAAATTAAATGTTCAGAATTTCAATTTATTTAAAAAATATTTTGAATAGCATAATGAACATTTTTCCCCTGCAGCTGCTACAGGAAGAAAATGAAGATGGATTTCTGTATATGCCACCCCTCCTGTCCAAGTGTAAAACAATGTGACAGGGAGGGCCACACGGGACCCCTGGAGCATGGGGCAGGGTTGTCATTGCGCCCCTGAAGCTACACCAGTGGTTGGTGTTGGGGGGGGTGGCAAAACATATCTCAACTGATGGGAGTTGTTTACTGTTGCCTCCCCCAAAACTGAAAATATGAACAAGCCCTTCCTCTCCAAAGTGCTTTATAAAGGTTGTTTTCACACTGATGTTCTGCGGTTTTGTAGTCCACGTAGGGACTAGCAAAACACGTGGGTGCAGCACTGTGCACTGTGGGTTTGCTGCGGTTTACCATCTACTTGCGGGGGTGTGGTTGCACTTTCTGAAAGCATACCAAAACTCCTGGTTTCAGTTTGAGGGTGAGGGCCCCCATCAGTGGGCTTCTGAGGGCACAGGTTGAGGACCCCATGTTTTACATCAAAAGATTAATTGTAAGAATCCCTGGAAGGGGGTAAAAAGTGTCCGGACTGGAAGGGGGGGGGAAAGCGTCCCGGACTGGAAGGCCGGGGGGGAAAGCGTCCGGACTGGAAGGGGGGGGGGGGAGGAGCGTCCGGACTGGTAGGGGGGGGGGGGAGGGGGAGGGGGAATGGGGGGGTGGAATAAGCGTACCAGGACTGGAAGGGGGGGGGAAGCAGTCCCGGACTGGAAGGGGGGGGGGGGGGGAAAGCGTCCGGACCTGCCAAGTACCCGGACAGGGGGGGGGGGGAAAGCGTCCGGACTGGAAGGGGGGGGGGGGGGAAATTCGTCCGGAACTGGAAGGGGGGGGGGGGGGAAAGCGTTCCGGGACTGGAAGGAGGGGGGGGGTGAGGAAGAAGCGGTCCGGACGAGACTGGAGAAAGGGGGGGGGGGGGAACGCGTCCGGACAGGAAGGGGGGGGGAAGGGAAAGCGTCCAGGACTGGAAAACAAGGGGGGGGGGGGGGGAAAGCGTCCGGACTGGAAGGAGGGGGGGGGGGGAAGCGTCCGGACTGGAAGGGGGGGGGGGGAAGCGTCCCGGGAAAGCTGGAAGGGGGAGGGGGGGGGGTGAAAAGCGTCCGGCTGCTGACTGGAAAGGGGGGTAAAAGCGTCCGGACTGGAAAGGGGGGGGGGAAGCCCGTCCGGACTGATGGCAGGGGGGGGTGAAAGCGTCCGGCACTGGAAGGGGGGGAGAAGAGAAAGCGACCGGAAGCACTTGGGAAGGGGGGGAAGCGAACCGGTCCAAACTAGGAAGGTGGGGGGCTGGGCGATCGGGAGGGGCCCGGGGGGGGGATAGCGGTCCGGTACTGGAAGGGGGGTGGGGGGGGGGGGGGGAACGTGCTAAATACACCCCAGGGTGCATCAAACAAATGTATGTTGCAAAATCTGCAGTTCATTTCTCTATATAAAAAAGCAACCAGAGCTGGTGTAGAAAAGCCTGTCCCCTGCGAGCATGCTCCAGCGAGGAAACCCTTGCTTTCTTCGGTCTGGAAGCAGTGGTCCTCTTCTGCTGAAGTCAGAGCAAGAGCGCAGGCAAGTACGCTCCAGCAAAATTTATAAAAAAGGAAAACCAAAACGAATTCAGCAATATCGATCTATTGAGTTGGTCAGACAGAGAGGCAGATTGATATTATTGTATAATACAACCATTCAGAACGTCTTCAGCAACTCCACACATCCACAAGAATGGAGCGGGGCAAAGAGGAAACGGCGCACTTGAGCGGAGAAGTCTTTCAGGCATGACTCCAGTCCGGAATTCTGGAAGGATTGTATCACCGGGAGCTGGCACGCAGCACAACAAACGTCCTGAAAAATCCAACCCTTTCCGTGCTGCTGTTGTCATCTTTTGTAGTATCGAGTTAGAAAAACTGCCGATCAACAGTCCTGCCGAGCGTCATTGAAAGTTATGCAAGTAAATGATAAAAAAGCCAATATTCTACACTAATTCCTCTAAATTTCCTCCATGAGGTCCATGTGTGGGACTGACAAGGTGAATCTGATTTTAAATCAAGGGTCTCCAAAATTGTGGCCTGCGGAGGACGGATGTGCCCTCTGGTTGCTCTATTATCCTGGCCATTCCTGGTGGTACTATTCTTTCCACTGTATGAGGCACTGACACCAATGATGGGACAACTATTCCTCGCCACTGACACCAAGGATTGTGGGCACCATTACTCGCCAACTGACACCAAGGATGGGGCGATCCATTCCTCCCACTGACACAAGGAAGGGGCACCATTCCATCCCCACTGGACACCAAGGATGGGGCACCATTCCTCCCACTGACACCAAGAGATGGGCACCTATCCTCCCACTGACACCAAGGATGGGGCACTAATCCTACCACAGATACCAAGGACTGGGGCACTATTCTTCCCACTGATACCAAGGATGGGGCACTATACCTCCCACTGACACCAATGACGGTGGGGGCACGATTCCTCCCGCTGACACCTAAGTGACTTGGAACCCGAGGGGCGGACTGACAACTCATGGGGCCCCCGGGCAATAGGGGATTCATGGACCCCCTGTGTCCCTTGCGAAACTCAAAAAAGTCTATGAAAAAGGTACCAGGGGAATCTCGGGCAGTGCCCGAGTTTTCCAAATGGTCAGTCTGCCCCTGCTGGGAACTATTCCCCTCAAATAATTCCTCCGCTGACACCAGTGACGGGGCACTATTCCTCCCACTGCGATACCAAGAATGGGGCACCATTTCCCCCCAATGACACCAAAGACGGGGCAACCATTCCTCCCCACTTGATACCAAGAACAGGGCACCATTCCTCCCACTGACACCAAAGATGGGGTCCCTAGTCCTCCTCACTGACACCAAAGATGGGGCACTACTACCTCCTCCACTGACACCAAGGATGGGGGCACTACTCCTCCCACTGACACCAAAGATGGGCAAACTACTCCTCCCACTGACACCAAGGATGGGGCACTACTCCTCCCACCATGACACCAAGGATGGGGCACTACTCCTCCCACGCATACAAGGATGGGGCACCACTCTTCCACTGATACAAGGACGGGCACCATTCCTCTCACTGACACCAAGGTACAAGGAGACACCAAGGAACCGGCACCACATTCCTCCCACTGACACCAAGGACGGTGGCACCATTCCTCCCCACAGACACCAAGGACGGGGCACCATTCCTCCCGACTGACAAAAACCAAAGATTGGAGACACATATTCCTCATACTTGACACCAAATATGGGACACTATTCCTCACAATGGACACCCAATGATGGGAACACAGATTCTCCTACACCACCTTGACACCAACTTGAAGGCGACACCCTTACCTCCCACTGAACAACCAGTGATGTGGGCACTATAATTTCCCACTGACATCAGATGATGTAATATTTTTTTTTTTACTCCCACTGACCACGCTAGTCTATGGCATTGATTCCTTCCCCATGGATGTTTTTATTTTTGTTAAACTTTATTGTGACGGAAGTTATATCTATGCTTGTCCCACTTGTTTCATTGTGGATTGCCAGATTGAAACTAAAATGAAAGAAAGCCCTTAAAAAAGAAAATGAATACAGCCGTCACATCAAAAAAATCTGAAGAA